AAACATGCGTATAACACTTTACATAATTATAAAGACAGTGTTTATTAAAATACATTTTATTTTTAAAAATGTAATAGAATCAGCTGTTAAAGTATGTATACTCTTTTGCATTTATATATAAGGAAACTCCCATGAGATTATTAATAGAATTTTGAGCAAAAACTTTATCACCCTAGCCAGGTGGGTCAGTTGGTTGGAGCATCATCCTGTACCCAAAAAAGGGTGTGGGTTTGAGTCCCAGTCAGAGCATATTCCTAAGTTACAGGTTTGATCACTGGTTAGGGTGCTTACAGGATGCAACCAGTGTTTTCCTCTTCCTCTTCTTCTCCCTCTCCCTCTCACCTTTCTTTTTGCTCTAAAAAAATTAATGAAAACATACCCTCAGGTGAAGATTAAAACAAAACAAAAAAAAAAAGCCTTTGTAGGCCAGAAGGGAATGGCATGATATATTTAAAGTGCTGAAAAAAAATAAAGAGTTTTTCAACCAAGGTACTCTACCCAAAAAAGTTGTCCTTCAGAACTGAAGGAGAAAAGAAGAGTATATAAGACAAGAAAAAATTGAAAGAATTCAGTGTGACTAGACTGGCCTTACAAGAAATGTTAGAGGGACTTTTGTAAGCTGAAACAAAGGGTACTAATCAGTAACAGGAAAACTATAGGAAGGTATAAATTTCACTAATAAAGGTAAATATATAGTTCAATTTAGAATTTAAAAGTAGAACATGTGAACAGACCAATTATTAGTAAGGAGATTAGTAATAGTAATCTAAAACTTCTCAAAAAAACAAAGTGCAGGACCAGCTGGTTTCACTGGATAATTCCATTAAACATTTAAAGAAAAATTAATACAAGTTCTTCTCAAAAGTAATACAAATTCTCTCAAAAAATAGAAGATGATATAACACTTCCCCAGTCATTTACAAGGCCAATATTACCCTGATACCAAAACCAAGCAAAGACACTACAAGAAAACAAAATTATAAGCTAATAGGCCTGATGAACACAGACGCAAAAATTCTCAACAAAATATTAGCCAACTGACTACAACATTGCATTAAAAGAATAATACATTATGATGAACTGGTTATTCCAGGAATGCAAGGTTGAATTAACAGCCACAAATTCATCAATATGATAGAACATTTTAACAAAACAACAAATATCACATGATCATCTCAATAGATGCAGAAAATGCATTCGACAGAAGTTAACATTCATTCATAATGGAAACTCAACAAAGTGAATATAGAGGGAATGTATCTCAACATAAGAAAAATCTTTATGACAGATCTATAGCTAACAACATTTAGTGGTGAAAAACTGAAAACTTTTCCCCTACGATCAGGAACTAGACAAGGACAACTACTCTTGCCACTTTTATTCAAGATAGTACTGGAAGTCTTAGAGCAATTATACAAGTAAAAGGGGGGGGGGGGGGAATGCCACCCAAAATAGAAAGGAAGAAGTAAAACTGCCTGAATTTGCAGATGACATATTATATATAGTAAACCATAAAGAGTTCACACACACACACACAAAATAGAATGAATAAATTCAGTCAGTAAAGTTGCAGGATATAAAATCTATAGTAATAAAAGCTAATTAGATCAGATGACCTTCCAGACAAAGCTGGAGCTTCGAGGGAAGCCCAGGTCCTGGGTGTCTGCCAGGGGCCAGAGGGAAGCCTGGTCCCAGGAGCCAGAGGGAAACCAGTGCTGGCAGCTGAGTGAAGAAAGGCCCATTGTTGTACAAATTTCGTGCATTGGGCCTCTAGTCAATATATAAAAATTATTTGCATTTTTATACAGTAATAACTGACTACCAGAAAGAGAAGTTTAAAAAAAAATCTCATATATAATTGCATGTAAAAGAATAGACTACCTAGAAAAAAATTTAACCAAGTAAGTGAAAGATCTATACACTGAAAATTATAAGACATTGATGAAAGAAATTGAAGTCTAAAATAGATATTTTGTGCTCGTGGATCAGAAGAATTAATAGTTAAAATCTGCACATTCATTGCAATCCTTATCAGAATTTCAATGGCATTTTTTTCATGTATCGATAAATATGATAATCCTAATAGACCATAAGAGACCCTAATAGCAAAGCATCTTTAGAAAATAGAAAAATCACTTCCTGATTTCAAGGTATATTACAAAGTATATTTATGCCAAAACCATAGTCTTTAGTAATAAAACCAGACATACAGATAAGTGAACAAAATAGAGAATCCATAAATAAATCCACATATGTATGGTCTAATAATTTACAACAAAGGAACCAAGAATATACCATGGGGAAAAGGATAGTCTCGTCAATAAATGGTGTTGGAAAGACTGTAAAGCCACATGCAAAAGAACAAAATATGACCCCTATCTTAAACCATACACAAAAGTCAACTCAATGTGGATTAAAGACTTTAATATAATACCTGAAGCTGAAGATGGATTAAAGACTTGAATGTAATACTTGAAGCTATAAAACTCTTAAAAGAAAACATAGGGAGTAAGCTCATGAACATTATTCTTGGCAGTGCTTTTCTGGAATTAACTTAAAAAACAAAGGCAACAAAAGCAAAAATCACCAAGAAGACAACATAAAACTAAAAGTTTCTGTACAGCAAAGGAAACTGTCAACCAAATGAAAAGGCAACTTACAGAATGGGAAAATATTTGCAAATCATATATCTGCTAAGAGATTAATATCCAAATTATATATATAGAAGTCATATAACTCAATAGAAAAAGCAAACAATCTAATTTAAACATGGGCAGAGGGTATGAATAACATGAAGACATCCAGATGGGCAATAGGTACATGAAAAGTGGTCAGTCGATATCGCCAATCATTGGGACATTCACATCCAAAGGACAATGAGTTATCACCTCACACTTATTAGAATGTCCATTATCAAAATATAGGAGGTGATAGGATGTGGAGAAAAGGGAATTCTTGTACAATGTTGGTGAGACTGTAAATTGATTCATGTACTATGAAAAGAATTTGGAGGTTCATCAGAAATTAAAAATACAAATACCATCTGATCCAACTATTCTACTTCTGGTTATTTATACAAAGGAAATGATAGTCACTGTCTCAAAAAGATACCTACATCCCCATGTTCATTGGATCATTGCTTATAATAGCAGACACATAGGGAGAACCTAGGATTCTATCAATATATGAATGAATAAAGAAAAAATATATACATAGTTTTTGAAGAAATGATGCCTAAAAGATCCCTATTTTGGGGAAGAACATAATATATGTGCGATGAAATATTCAGACACATACACACAAACACACACACACACACACACACACACACACACACACACACAAAATTCTTCCACTTGCAACACTATGGATGGACCTTGAGGGCATTTACTAAGTGAAATCAGTCTGAGAAAAACAAATACTATATAATTTTATATGTGGGATCTAAAAATAACCAGACCCATGACAGAGAGAACAGATTGATGGTTGCCAAAGGCAGGATTGAGGAGTGGGTGAAATGGGTAAAGGTGTTTAAAAGGTAAGAATTTCCACTTATAAATAAACTAGAGGCCTGGTGCATGAAATTTGTGTACAGGTAGGGTCCCTAGGCCTGGCCACTGATCAGGGCCAATTGGGGCCTTCCAGCTGCCAGCTGGGGCCTCCCTTCCCCTGCTGCTTCCTTCATTCTGTGCCACCTCTGGTGGTCAGAGCAAGTCATAGCAAATGATAGAACTCCAGGTCTCCTGGTCAAACTCTGGGAACACTTTGCATATTAGCCCTTTATAAATAGAGAAGATTCTGGGGGTGTAATGTACAGTAGTTAATAATCCTGTATTGTATATTTGAAAGTTTCCCAAACAGTAAATTGTAAGAGTTCTCATAGCAAGAAAAAAAAAAAAAACTGTAACTGAAATGATGGATGTTAACTAGATTTATTGTGATAATTATTTTGCAGTACATATAACAAATCCTTATGTTCAACAGGTAAAACTAATACAATGTTATTAAAATAAATTAAAACTAATACAATTATATCATAAGTGAAAACAAAAGAATATGAAAAGTTTTAAATAGCTATAAATTCTTCTCTTTGTGACCAGGAATATTAAGAAAAGAAAATAGATAATTTTAGGTTCTTTCAGAGAGTGAGAGTAATTAAAGAATAAACTTTATCATAGGAGTTTTATAAAAATATTCTTTTTTTTAGAAAATATTCTAATAGACTTTTAAATATTAGCTGTACAATTTGAGGAATAGACTAATCAACACTTTTGTTTTCAAATGATGACCATGAGATGTTGCCAGGAGCATGTAGCACAGCCAGTTATTGGTAGAGCATGATTATAGTTCTCATATGAAATTCAGGCCTTCAGTTTTTATATCAATCTTCCAGTCCTTTTCTAATATTTATGTGTCTTATCTAACCACTTGGTTTAAAGTGGCTTGGAAATTGACAGTAATCTGTGAAAGACCTTTTACTTTAAATTGACTCTTTATCAATGGATCTATTAACAACTGAGCCTTCCAAACTCCCCACTATCATTCATTTTCAAGACACCTTATTTTGCTTTAAAACTTAATGACTTCTTAGAAGAGCTCAAATGCCTCACTTAGCTTCTGAGCATCTTATGTGTTACATTTTTAAACATAAATATTATGTTAAGTATTTTGATATACTATCTCATTAAAATCTTATAACTGTATGAGTTATCAAGAACCTGAAGTTAGAGAAAAATAATTTGACCATTATTTCTTTAAAGTGGCTTTAATTTGTTCTGATTCCAAGTTTAGTGCATTTTCCCATCCATCACACTGATCATTATAAAAACCTCAACCAGATTTCCCAATTTGTATACCAGTTGGTGAATCTAGCCATATTTATATTCCTAAAACAGTTGTTCACATGTAAAGAATAGTAATTGATTTTTGTTTTGTTTAATATATTTAAACCAGCTTTCCATTACCATTTAGTATTCATCCAGTTTATCTTTCTTTTTTAGGCCGGTATGTGGAATCAGAGGGAAAACTCTCATAATTAACTTGCCAGGTAGCAAGAAAGGATCTCAGGTAAGAAACCTTAAGAATTATGTGATTTCATGTTATTGAGAATTATATGGTTTAGTGTACAAAGTTTTGGCCAGCTGTGAAATTTAGCCAACCAAAGAGTTGGAGCACTCCACAAGACTACCCTCACTTCTGACACCAATTGCAAGTCAGTGCATTTCCAAAACCACTGTCGGTTTCAATAATTCATTAAATACTCATAGAACTCACTGAAGAGGTATACCCACAAGTATGGCTTATTGCAGGGAAAGGATGCAGGTTAAAATCCACCAAGAGAAGAAGTGCATTAGACAAAGTACAGGAGAGTTACCAATTAGGAACTTCTGTTATCCTCTCTTTGTGGAGTATTAAATGCTTTAATCTCCTGGTATCAATGTGTAGCAACACAGGGAGCATTGCCAATCACGGAAGAGCCAAACCTTTGCTGTTCAAGGTTTTACTGGGGCTTATCAAATCCTGCTCATATGGCTAACTTTTAGTCTCTAGCCTTTCCCAGAATTTGGACTGATACCTTTAATGTCCAACACTTTCCAGAAGTAAAATTGATACCACGTTGCCCAAAGCCCCATAATAAGTCACACTGTTAGACTGTCTGTATCTTTGTACTTTCCCAGTACAAAGACACTCCTATCACTTATCAGTTACTGAGGGCAAAAGCCAGACTCTTTGAATAAAGTTAATTCTTTATTAGACAAGCTACCCACTAGTCTTTGGTCAAGGCTATATGAAAGCTAAATAATTGTATTTGTTTGGCTGGACATCAATATTGACTATAGCCTTTTTATTATAGACACAAAAACAATATAAGTGTGAATATGCCTAAGATTTGGAGAAGCCAGTGTGGGACCAGGATAGATTTCAAGAAATAGCTAATCCATCCTCTGTAGCCATTACATACATTTTCATATTTTTGTACTAATTTACTGGTTTTTTTCACCTTAAACTACTATTTGTATTTTATGATACATTCACATAGAACCATTTACCATAGAAATTAGCTCTGTTACTCAGGTCAGTCATTTTCCATTGATATTACAATTTTGAGAAGGCTTTCACTCTGTTTCCCAGTATATATAACCAGTTTTATAATTTTACTAAAGTGCCAGTATTATAACATATCACAGTATAGTAGTAGATACAATGTAAAAAATAAAAGTCAGAAGATACTGGCACATAATTGAATTCCTGCACATACATTAAATTACTCTTGTCCATCATCATATCATATGCCTCTCAGAATGATGCTACTCAGATTTAAGGTTTGTCATGTTCCAAAAGCCATAGTCTCAACAACATATGGCTTTTCCCTTTCTGGCATCTGTTACAGCTGAGCTAAAAAACAACATCATCTCTTGTTCTAAACCTCTTTTGATACACCAATATATTGGATTGCCCTCATTGCGTAAACCATTTATTCACTCATTTACCTTTAGCTACCATTTCTTCTCTCAGTTTATACCCAAACTTTTTCTTTAAAAATCTTTGATGATACAATTGGTTTGGCCACTGTGTGATCCAGATTGCCACCAGAAATACTTGTTTAGCAAGTGCCTCCCACCCAGTTCATTTCCTTTCAAATGAGGTAGGGTTACTTACATTCAGAACTATTAGGCACTCACAGTTGCAGTCCTGGTCCTAGGACTACTACATCTAATAGAGGGGGAAGTTGAGGTGACATGGGGGCTGGGGGAAGTAATGTCCTAAAGTAACAAGTGCATCATAAGAGCATCCTTCCCCAACCCTCTCTTCCCCAGAAAAGTAGAGGAATCTGTCTAATGGGGACCATCCCTTGGACTCCCTCATATTGAGTATGATCAATTAAGGTGTATAAGTAAGCCAGCCCTTCATGTCTTTATCTCTTCCCCTTTGAGACAAGTGTCCATTCCAATTTTCTATCAAATCATTGCTCTGCAGATGAGAGTGTGTTCCTTGGTATAATACTCATTGATATACTATCTTTTGCTCTGGGCCTTTCATAGTACACTGAGCATTTGTATCTACCACTGGGTAAGCAAAGCCCAGCCTAGAGTAAGTGTCTATTCCTGTTAGGACACATTTGTAACCTCCAGGGACCACTGGCATCAGGCCAACCTGTCATCCATGTGCAAGACCTTTCCCCATAGATTCTGCTGAATAGCCCTGTGCCATCTCTGTCTCTCTTTTTAGCAGAGAGAATAGTACTTATTGGCATTGTGTGTCTCAGAAAGTGCAAGACAAATATATCTACATTCATCCCATCTTGCAGCCCCTTAATGTTCACTCATCTCATGGTCCAGGTGGCCATATCAAGAAGGCACATCAATACCTGCTTACCAGTTTTTATCAGTTTCCAATTCTGGAAGGGGATCTTTTGATGGGCATTAACATATCTTACTTTAATATACCCCTTGCATTCCCAGAGTGATTTTCATGGGGCTATGTCCCATACAGGAATCCCTTTAGTAGACCAGTTTTCCATTGTCCTTCTGCCTGACAATATGGCCAGGCCACTAGACACTTCCCATGACTCAATTAAAACTCAAATATAGGGCCAAAAATCATGCAGTTCAGCCCATCGAGCTGATTTGTTTTTACCTTCTTCAATCAGAGTGGCGGCCTTCCAAACAGGATGCTGTCCCTTCACCTTGGAATTGCCATCCATAAACCAAGCAGCTCTTTGTTGATCAATAGAAAGCTGTTTATAGGGCACCGCCCAAGTGGCCTAAGTGGCCATAGGATCCAGCAGCTCCTCAGGTGCTTCCGAAGTCGGCCCTAGGTGAAAAGAGGCTACCTGCTCGTGAGTACCTCCTTGCATTCTCCTGGTAGCATGATCCTATATCCACCATTTCCATTTTATTATGGAATTCTCCTAGGCATTGCCTTCCCCATTAGAACATTTTTCTGACCTTACCTAAGATATTATGGAAATTTCAGATTTCAAGATTATATTATTCCATGTCCTTTAGTAATAAGGAAAGTTCCGATTAAAGTTCAATGATAATCTAGTGATTATTTTCTCAAATACAAATTCTCTGGTCCAAAATCCTAGCAGTTGCTGCTGGGTGGCACTCACAGGTTTTGCCATAAGTCCTAGTTTGCACTCTACAAAGCTATTGTAGAGCAAATTAATGAACTGTGTGGGTTCAGACAATCTTATTGATTTTCACTTAGCACATCCAATCTATATTGGTGGAAGAGTGGGTTTATATGCCTTCTGTTTTATAATACTAGATAGGGGAAGAATTTTCCAAACACAATATCCATTCCCATTTAGGCAAAGGAGACTCACCACTTCATGTAAACTTCATTGTACAAACATTCTATTTTTATCCAAATTTTCACTTTAATTCCTATTGCACTCCTATACCCTCTCAACCTAATATTATCTCCCAATTAGGACCTTAAAAAGTTTTAGAATCATAGTACATGGTATTCCCTTGTCAGAAAATCCTCTCCAAAATCTACTCCATTATCTGACCATTTGATCAATTTATGTGAATATGGTCTTGGATTTCTTGAAGGGATCCAGACCTTTTGTCAGGCCTTATCTTAACTAGATTATGGGATCATCCATCACATTAAGTGATTTAAGGTGAGTTTTCTTACAGTTATCTATGTCTTCTCACTTTTTAAATATTTCTAAACTAAAGTAAATAGAGATTTATTTAGGACCAAAGCCCTCATATTAAGCTAAATTGTTAGATGGTGCAGTGCCATAGTCACCAGGAAATGAGTGGCACTCCTATCAGGAGACAAGCAACTGCTCCTATCTGTTTGCTCAACCTACAACAATGCTACATTAAAACCTTTGTTTTGCTGCATTGGTGCTCACTTTTATTCAGCCTTTTTTTTTTCTATTCAATTGAATTTATTGGGGTAACATTAGTTAATAACATTATATAGGTTTCAAGTGTACAATTCTATGATACATTGGTTATTGCATTGTGTGCCCACCACCCACAGTCAAATCTCTTTCTGTCACCATATATTGGATCCCCTTTACCCTTTAATAGCCTCTTAACCCTGCTTCCCTCTGGTAACTATCATACTGTTGTCTGTGTCTATGATATTTTGTTTTGTTTGTTCATTTGTTGATTTCAGCTTTATATACCACATATGAGTGAAATCATATGCTTCTTCACTTTTCTTGATTTATTTTGCTTAGCATGATATCCTCCAGTTCTATCCTGCTAGGACAAGTCCGATTCTCTTATGAATTAATCTAACTTTATTTGCTGTTTATTACTTTAACCTACCTTTTTTCCTTTGGAAGCAGCTCTGAGGTTAGCAACTGTATATTGGACAAGCCAAAATATCAGCTTGGCTCAATCTCAGTATCCACCCCGATATTCTCCCTTGTTATTAATTTTAGCCAGCACAGATATCAGTAACCAAAGAACTGTATATGTACCTTGTTTCTTGTTATTTTACATTTATTTATGCATCCAGAAACACAGCTCCTTAGGAATTGGATCCTTCATTTTAAAATTCCATTGCTAACTTTTATCTTCAATAATTAATCGCAGCACAGCTGCATCTCCTTTCTGTGAATGACCCTATGTTCATTCAGGCTTTAAAAAGTCATCATTCTTTACCTTCTCTTCCTTCCTCCCCCCAGATCACATTTCATGCATCACACACATTCTAGCAAATCCCACTTCTAATACCAACTGTAAGGAGTTTTGGCTAACTGCAAAAGTTAGCCAACTATAAGACTGCTCTCATTTCTGACACCAGTTGCAATTCAAATGATTTCTAAAACCACTCCCAGTTTTAATAATTCAATATAAGGACTCATAGAACTCACTGAGAACTGTTATACTCTGGTTATATTGTATATTACATGGAAAGAATATAGATTGAAATCAGCCAAGGGAAGAAACAGAAAGGGCAGAGTCTAAGAGAGGTACCAAATAAGGAACTCTGGTTATCCTCTTACCTGCTCTCCATAATATGAGACATACAGACAGACCATTGCCAGCAAAGTACCCTGACTTTTTACCTGTGGTGTCCAGTTTTTATTGGTACTTGATCGCATATTTCCTACAAAGCTGACATTTAGCCTAGTCTTTTCCAGAGGGAAGACTGGTGACTTTACTCTCCAGTTCCTTCCAGAGGCAAAACTAATAATGTTTCCTGAAGCCCTCATAATAAATCAGTGTTAGGCTGTCCAGTACCAAAAGCCCCCAAGCAAACAAATACATTTATATCATGCATGAAAATCCAAGGCACTGGAGATCACCTCTCAAAAATCTGAAAATAAAGGCCAAACCTATCTTTGGTTAAGGTTAAATCCTTTACTATCCAACCTTTATCAGTGAAATGATTGAGCCATGCAAAAAGAGATAAAAATATTGGGCATGCTTTCATGTATTCCAGTAACCCTTCATAAATTCAGGATACTTTTTTACATCTTACATTTTACGGTAAGTTACTTTAAATGTAAAAGAGAAAGACCTCTGCCCAAACACATTCCCCAAACATATCTGACCCTATGTTCTAAGGTTAACATTCTCATCTATTCTCTTTTTGGTGATACATTATTGGTAATATTGGGCAGCTGAGCAGGAGACTGTATTGACTTTAATGCGGTGTTTTGTACAAACTTATATCTAATGTTGACTAGCTATAATTTATTACGGTAGTCAGAACTTTAGATCTCTGAATAAAATAGCTCAGTCTTTGATTAATTTGTTGTTGTTGTTTTTTCTTTTCCCATAATATATCCTTGAGCCCCAAAGTGTATAAAATTTTTTTGGTAAAAAAATATTGTATGCTTATATAGTACTTTAGTTCCTCAGATAATACTGTAATATATAACATTCTTACTTCCTTTTTCATATTACAACAGTAATGCTTTAAATATGATTCATTCTTAAGACTGATGAAAAGAAATGCAAATCCAAAATCACAAATAAGTTTGATTGCTACCAGTTTTATGCCTATAAAAGTAACTCATCTTCATTTTTTTTCTTCCTCTTGCACACAGGAATGCTTTCAGTTCATACTGCCAGCTCTACCTCATGCCATTGACCTTTTACGGGATGCCATTGTAAAAGTAAAGGAAGTGCATGATGAACTTGAAGATTTACCTTCCCCACCACCTCCTCTTTCTCCTCCTCCCACAACTAGTCCCCATAAACAGACAGAAGACAAAGGGGTTCAATGTGAAGAAGAGGAAGAAGAGAAGAAAGACAGTGGTGTTGCTTCAACAGAAGATAGTTCTTCATCACATATAACTGCAGCAGCCATTGCTGCCAAGGTAAGCCTGCTGAGAGAGACCCAACAATCTAAAGGACCCACAGGTAAATGTACTGATTTCATCCCTCTTTTCATCTCATCCCATAAGTTTAAAATCTCTTCAGTATATCCTTTAAAAAGAACTGAGAAAGCATTGAAGCTTGTTCTGAGTTCTTAGGCATTTAAGATACTGCTGTTACCTAGTGAAGTAAAAGTTGCAATGATAAACAATGTGATAAACAATGTGACATTGAAGAACTTTTTGGAGATGTCATTTTTGTATTATAATAAATATACAGTATTTATATATTCAAAACATCAAATATTCACAATTTCTTAAAGAAACAACAAACTAAAGGTAGGAAACCTTAGATGATTCAAAAGATTAGTTAGAAAGGTTAATAACTATATTTTAATATTAGGGTTTTCAGCAATAACTATATTTTAATATTAGGGTAAATAGTTATTTAAATATAATGACAGATTACCATAGTGGTGTAGAGAGGAAATAGATATAAGGTATTTGCATTTTTAATCTAATAAAGTAATATTATTAGGACAGTACCAATATATTAAAAACTCTTTGGGGGAAATGCAGGGAGTAGGGTACCATGAGATACTTGAATAAATTTAGTCATTTTAAGTCACAGAATATCATTTACATTATTATCCATACGTAATATGCTTTACCCAGTGTGCTTTAAAAAGTTCAAAAAATAAAATATCATTTCTGGGAATAATGATTGTTCATTGATTGAGAGCATAAAGAGTAAAAACCTAATCACTGTCTTAAGCAATTCCTAAAGTTTTATTGATTATCCCAGATATTTTGCCTATGAGAATTGCATGAGATGGTTTTTTGACAACATATAGATAGAAAGGATCATAGAGATCTTTTGAAGTGTACATTCAGACAACCAGCAGATACTCCTTTCACCGAAGATAGATGATTCTATCTTCAGATCAATTGAATGATCCATTAAGTTTTTACTTAAGGCTAGTATTTAAGTTGTATATGAGGTTTGTTTTGTTTTGATGGAACTAATTGGTGAATAAGATACATTTAAAATTCAATGCATGTTCTTTCTCTTTTACTCTTAATTAAAAGAGTAAAAAATATCAACAATTTCAATCTTAAGTAAAAAGCTTATAGCATTTGAAATCTAAGCTGATTTGACATTTCATTATTCCATTTGTTTTCACTGTTTTTCCTTTCCAGTCATTTTGCTTGTGTAGTTTCATGTTTTCTTGTCACTATATTCATAGTTATTATGTGTTGTGCATTAGAAGCATCCATTCTACACCAGTCCTGCTGTTATCATGGCACATGGTGAGCAGCCCATCCCTGGTCTCATCAATTATTCCCATCATGCAACAGGCAGTGCAGATGAACGGGTAAGATAAAGAGGCTTTTGCATTAATGATTTGCAAGCATACCACCTACCTCCTATCTTTGGAGGTAGGCTATAACATATAATGGAAGACGTGTTTTATTCAGAAGGACCTTCAGCAGTGCTTTCTTGTGAAAGTGTAAGTGCCACTGACTATATTTCAATGAAGAATTTAATTTAATAGTTTCTCCCTATACCTAAATTACTCTAATATCATTAAGATTCTGAAGTATGTGGCAATGAGCTTTCATTTACATGACTTCCAAGAAATTTATTGCTCAGAAGTTCTTTTCTTCTTTAGCAATTTTATCACATACCTTCAAATAAATGACCCTGCTTAATTAAAATAATTTCTTTAAGAGATTCAGCCTATGTCTTAAAATCTAAACAGATTGTTCAAGCTAATATTTCATTTGTATTAACCTTGGATTTTTTTTGCTCATGATTTTACATCTTATTTTCTTTTCCTTCACTATGTTCTCATTACAACCATTTAAAGAATTGAGTCTTGATACAAATTCTGAGATTTCTAATCTTTAGATAAAAAACTTTCAAGGATATATATCACTTCTTTTAGTCACTGGCCGAATGATAGTTTGCAAGAAATGACAGACTAGGAAAGATTAAACTGATAAGTATAACTGACTAAGCAGTGATAATTTAGTCTATGGCTGCAAAAAATACACATACACAAACACACACACACTCTCTAGAGGCCCAATGCATGAAATTCATGCCAGGGGCTTGACCCTCTTAGCCCCAGCTTCATCCGGAAAATCATGCTGTCCGGTCCAATTAGCATATTATGCTTTCATCATACACACACACACACACACACACATATATATATTTCAATCCCTAATGTGGATATAAACTAAGAGGAAAAAAGAAGTACTGAAGTAAAATTTGGCTTTAAATATTTAGGGAGAACAAGCACTTAGAATATGAGGAAGGGAGGTATGGAAGGTTGGGTAGGGAACTAGTAGTCTCTTGGGAGATATACTACCAAAATGAAGACTTTAATCTTTATATTCAACAAGCCCTACCTGGTTGGAAATAAACTTGAGTTAATCAAAGGACAAGTAGAACATTCAAATATTGATTATTAAAATTACTAATGAATTTCAGTTGACAACTAGCATGTGAATTCTCCAGATATAGTTTTGTTATAAATTATAAACATTCAAAAATATATCAAACTTGAAGCAAGACTGTTTTTTGTATTCTCATCTCATAAAATGGCCACAACTGTTATAATCATCCTGGTTTTCAAAATAAAGTATTTGGAAGTTTTATATTTATAACCAAGTTTTAAATTATTACTGTCTGAGTTTTATATTATTACACTGAAAATTATTTTAAAGGATCTTTGTTTTAAAATCTTTATTGATGAAAGTATTACATATGTCCCCTATTTTCGCCCATTGACCCCTTCTGGCATGGCTCCTTTTTTTTTTTTTAATAGTCCCAAGGATTACACATACCTAGTACCATCCTAGATGCCGGAAGAGAAAGTATTACATACAGTGGATTCCTTTTATTCCTATGATTTCATTCTCTGAGGAAATAGTCAAAAATGACTATTTAAGTATTCTAACTGGAGGGCCTCATATGGCATCACCAGGAACTTATTATTTATTAATTAATATTTAATAATCCTTTGTAAGTAGTAGTTATGGTCTTTTGATAGGTAATTCAGTTTTGTAAATAGACTTACACACACTTCCTTTGACAAATGATTATCAGAGCTCAAATCAAAGAGCATAATGTTCTATTTCTACAGACCTAACATCCATAGAAAAGAATGAAAAAGAAGAAATAGATAACAGAAATTATTAAGAGGAAGATTTTTAATGTTCTTAGTGCTCCTAAAGTAGTTTTGTAAACTCTGTTAAAGCTTATCTGGCACTAACTTCATCAATGAGCCTCAGTGGTAATACATGCCCACGTGTGTTGTCAGTGTTTTAGATCTCTACATGAGACACTCATTTGCAATATCTCTATGAACTATTTGGTGATTTTTACAAGCTTTACTAATGTAAAATTTTAAAATTAATTTTTAAAAGGGAGCATCTAATTACCTATTGAAGGGGAAACATATCACAATTTTCCCTCAGCTGGTTCCCATTCTAAGGCATATGAAGCAATGTGGAATAATGTAAATTATGCAACTTAAAATGAGAAAAGCTAGATATAAGACCTGACTTTATCACTTAACATTTGAGGCAAATTACTCAAGACTTAAGGTTCAGTCTCTCGTCTATAATTTTAATAAGAAGAGATAGTTCTTGTAAAGAAACACTCATATGAATATTTAAATTTTTACATTTATAAAAAAGATAGGTTATAGTCATACTGTATATGTTTACTATGTAGACAGAATCACAGTATATAAAAGGAATCACTATGTAAAAAAAATCCAATCTAAAAAGGAAGAAGTAAAACTATTAGAGCTAATAAATTCAGCAAAGTTGCAGGGTAAATAAAGAGCCCACAAAAATCAGTATATAAATAGATGTTTATATACTGACATTAACATTTTTTTTAAAAATTAAAAAAGAAAACCCATTTACAATAGCATCAAAGAGAGTGAATACTGAAAATTACAAAATATTAAAAGAAATAATTAAATGGGAAAACATATTGCTAAGATGGCAATACTAAAAGGGATCTACAAATTCAATGGACTTGAGTTTCTTTCATCAGGTTAGGGAAGTTTTCAGTCATTATTTCTTCAAATAAGTTCTTGATCCCTTGCTCTCTGTCTTCTCCTTCTCCTACTCTGATGATACAGATGTTGCTACAGTTGATGTTGCTCCAGAGATCTCTTAAAGTATCCTCATTATTTAAAATTATGTTTTTCCTTTTGCTTCTCTGATTGGGTGTTTTCTACTACCTTGTCTTTTAAATCATTGATTCAATCCACTGCTTCATCTAATCTGCTGTTGATTTCTTCTAGTATATCCTTCTTTTAATTTATTGTATTCATTTCTTACTTTTTTCTTTTTATGTTTTATATGCGCTTTTTTATGCTGTTAAAGTTTTTACTGAGTTCCTTGAGCATTTTTATAACCATTGTTTTATCTGGTAATTTGCTTGCCTCCATTTAATTTAATTCTTTTTCTGGAGATTCTCCTGTTCTTTCATTTGTCTCCCCATTTTTGCTGTGTCTCTATTTTTGTTTTTACATATAGATAGATTTCTGTGTCTCCCAGACTTCATAGAGTGACCTTATGCAGTAGATGTCTGGAGGGCCCAGTGGCACAGACTCCCCAGTCACCTAAGCCTAGTACTCCACGTGCACCCATTTGAGCTGTATGTACCCTCCTGTTATAGTTGAGCCTAATTCCTATTGGCATGTCATTAGAAGGAATTGACCCACAAGGTGATCAGCTAGGAGGACTGGCCATGACTGTGGCAAAGGAGTTGCTTGCAAAGGCCTACCCCATAGATAAGAATTTGCTTCAGTAGGATTCTGGTGCCCAACATATTCACTCATTCAGTGTATGACTTGTAGAGGCTGTTGGGTGGTGCTCCAGCCTGGATTGAAGCTGACTATAGGATACACTGGCTCTAGGGCCTCCCTTGAGGTCCAGACCAAGGTCATCTGCTGCCTGCGCCCTGCCGAAGACCATCCTTAAAGCAATCTGCTGCCGGCTGTTACTTGTGCTGGACTTGGTGGTACCCAGTAGAGGCCAAGCTGTGAACAGCCTGGCTACCACTAGTGCTGATCTTGGGGCCACTTAGCAAGAGATATAGGGTATTCAAAGTCAGATACTGCTTGTTTGGGGTTTATTAACTTTTGAAAGAATTTAGGAAGTCTATAGCATGAGCAAGACAGGCCATTTGTAATGAAAAACCACAAGTTGGGTGGGGCCAGGACTCGGGATCACCAGAAGAAGGTGAACAATGTTAATCAGGTTGATGGAAAATAAGATATGATGCTCATGTGCATCTACTGGGGGGAGGGTTCTGCAAAGAACAATAGTTTCTGCCAGAACTTCTATCTGGGAGAAAGCTGCCCCACCAGCCCTCACCTTAATACCATCCAATTAAGTTCCTTCCCACTTATCCTTGGTACCTTTCAAGTTGCTGCCTCTGTGTTAGAGCTCAGAGGAAGGGAATCAGTAAATCTGTGCATGGACCCTTTAAGAGAAACATCTAGGACTCTTTTTTTAAAATAAATCTTTATTGTTCGGATTATTACAAATGTTCCTTTCCCCCTCTCTCAAAATTGCTCCCCGCCACCAGGTTCCCACCCCACCCTCTGCTCTTTCCCCACCCCCCATTGTCCTCATCCATAAGTGCACAGTTTTTGTTCAATCTCTTCCTGCACCCCCCACTCCCCTTTTCCCCGAGAATCATCAGTCCACTCCCCTTCCATATCTCTGATTCTATTATATTCACCAGTTAATATTGTTCATCAGGTTTTTTAATTCCCTTGGCTTTTAGTTTCACTTGTTGATAGTTGATAGTATTTGTTGATCATAATTTTTATCTTTATCTTCTTCCTTTTCCTAAAGAACCCTCTTCAGCAATTCATATAATTCTGGTTTGGCAGTGATGAATTCCTTTAGCTTTTTTTTATTGGTGAAGCTCTTTATCTGGCCTTCTATTCTGAGTTTTGCTGGGTAGAGTATTTTTGGCTGTAGGTTCTTGCTATTCATCATGTTGAATATTTCTTGCCATTCCCATCCGGCCTGCATGGTTTCTGTTGAGAAATCAGCTGACAATCATATAGGTGCTCTTTTATAGGTAACTACCTCCTTTTCTCTTGCTGCTTTTAATATTCTCTCTTTGTCTTTTGCTCTTGGAATTTTAACTATGATGTGTCTTGGTATGGTCCTCTTTGGATTCTTTTTGTTTGGGGTTCTGTGCGCTTCCTGGACTTGTAAGTCTATTTCTTTCACCAGGTAGGGGAAGTTTTCTGTCACTATTTTTTTCAGTATGCTTTCGGTATCTTGCTCTCTTTCTTCTTCTGAGACCCCCATAATTCTGATGTTGGTTCGATTGAAATTTTTCCAGAGGTTACTTACACTATCTTCAACTTTCTGTATTCTCTTATTTTCTTGCTTCTGCAGAGGAGTGTCCTCTGGCTTTTTGTTCCAAATTTTTTACTTGATTCTTGCGATCTCCCATTCTGTTTTTAGGACTCTGTTTTTAGACTCTGTAATATTTTTTATTTCAGACAATATGTTCTTTATTTCTAGTTAATCCCTTTTCATATCCTCTTAGGTCTCATTTATTTTATCGGCCTTTTCTAGGAAATTCTTGAAAAACCTTATAAGCATGGATTTGAACTCTATATCCAGTCATTTCTTGTCCTCCATTTCTTTCGTTTGTGATCTGTGTCCCTGTCTCAGCATTTTCACAGCTTCCCTGAGTTGGTAGGGTGGCTTTGTGTGCTAAAGTGTCCTATGTGGTTAAGTGGGTCAGCCTCCCAGTTACCTGAGGTGGACAGTCTTGGTGTAGCCCTTTGTGGGTTGTGTGTGCAGTCTTGTTGTTAAGCCTTGCTTGTTGTTGGTATCACTGGGAAGCGTTGATCTCTAAGCCAATTGGCTATGAGGATCAGAAGTGTCTCAGCTAGGAGGGTTTCTGTATTCTGCTTGGATGGGTCAGAGTCTCGGGGTGGCACAGACAAGTTTTGATGAATCCCATAGGATTGGTTGCAGGCACGCACGCACCTTTTTGGTAAGGCTCAGACAAGCTTTGGATTCCTGTCTTTCCCTTTCTAGGAGAGTCTTATTCTCAGCGAACAAGAAAGCTAGCCACTAGAAAGGCTTCTGTGCTCCTCTTGGATGGGGTGGAATCTCAGGGTGGTACAGACAAGCTTTAGTCAGCCTCCCCCTATGAGGGTCTGGTTTCTGAGTCCCTCAGTAATGGCCATTGGCTTCACACACCTCCAAGAGATCTCTGCCCACTGCCTGACAGTCTGGCCTCTCCCTGTCTGGGGCCGTCTATCAGAGCAATAGGGTGGTTCTGTTTTCCTCCCGAAAAAAACATTAGCTGTCCGCTCTCTTTGCATGTAGGGAGTAAGCCAGCAGCGAACTCGGCCCACCGTCTCAGTGCTCCACAAACAAGCCAGCAGTGAAGTCTGGCAGCTGCCTTTTCGCGCGCACAGTTCACAGCACCTTCACAGTTCCTGAGGTTCAGCACGCCTTCTCTCTCCTTCCCAGATGGTAGAGCCTTCTCTCAGCCAGCCATTCGGTGCTTCAGGGCGATGTTTCCCCTGTTTTCCAGTTCTAAATTCAAAATTGTTGTGGTAGGCTGCATTCGGGTGTTTACCCTATGCTGCCATCTTGGTTTTTTTCCGCATCTAGGACTCTTAACAGCCACGTTCTCCACTGGTTTTCACAGCCAGAACTTAGGAGGACTTCTCTTACTGGCACTGTAATGCTGGGCTGAGGGACCTGGAGTGGATCTGGGACATCTCGCTTCTTAAGGGGGTATCTCTGCAACCAAGATAGCTTTGCCCATTTTTAACCACCACATGTGGATATGGATCAGCCTGTTCTATATCTGTGTACCTCCTACCAGTCTCCATGTGGCTTCTGTATATCCTTATAAGACCTAGCGCAACTTTGGGAGAAAAAATATTAATATAAGACACTGTCTTATTTTCAGGGAAGCAGAGTAGTTGTTCTAACCATTATTGAAAGTTGACCATTGGAATCTCCCATTACTATTGTTGATTTTTTTTCCCCTCTTCAATACTGTCAGTTTTTGTTTCATATATTATGGGGCTCTGGTTAGGTGCATATAAGTTTATAATTGTCGTATATTCTGATAAATTGACTTATTTACCATTATATAATATTTCTTATAACAGTTTTTATCTTAATATCCATTTCTTCTGATATTATTATAGCCATTTCAGCTTTATTGGATACTTTTTACCTGGAATTGTCTTTTTTAAAATAATTAATCTGTTTGTTTGTTTATTTATATATTTTTATTAATTTCAGAGAGGAAGGTAGAGAGAGGGATAGAAACATCAATAATAAGAGAGAACCATTGATTGACTGCCTCCTGCATGTCCCCTACTGGGGATCGAGCCTGCAACCTGGACATATACCCTTGACCAGAATCAAACCCAGGACCCTTGAGTCCACAGGCCAATGCCCTAACCACTGAGCCAAACCTGCTAGGGTTAGAATTGTCTTTTGAAATTATATAAGCAAAAACAAAAGCAAAAGCACATTTATATATGGATTTACAAACCAAAATATACACTCTACAATACTAACTTTTATATTTACCTTTGCAGAAAACCAGTGTTGTTTATTTCTTCATATGAATGCCAAAATACTACCTAATGTCCTTTACATTTCAACCTAAAAGACCTTCCTCTTTTTAGCATTATTTGTAGAGCAGGTCTACTAGTATTGAACTCTCCCAGTTTTTGTTTATCTGAGAATATCTTGAATTAACCTTTATTTTTTAAGTATTTTGCCAGATATAACATTTTGGGCATTTTTAGTTTATCATTTCACTGCCTACTGATCCCTATTGTTTCTGTTCAGAAATCAGCTGTCATTGTTATTGAGGATCTTTCGTTTGAGTGCTTCTCCTTTACTGTTTTCAGGCTTCTGTCTGTCTTTTTCTCTCAGAAGTTTTATTATAATGTGTCTTGGTTTAGAAATCTTTGAGTTTATCCAATTTAGGGTTGTGGAGTTTTTTGTCTTTATAAAATTTAGAAAGTTTGGGAGCCTTAATTTCTTCAAATATTATTCTTCCTCTTTCCTCTTCTCTGGAACTCACATTATTCATATCTTGGTACAGTTATTGGTGTCCCATAGATTTCTTGAGTTCTGTTTACTTTTCTTCTTTTTTTTTCTGCTTCTAAAACTGAGAATTCTAAATTGATTTATCTTCAAGTTTATTAATTTTTTTTCTTCCTAAATATTTTGCTTAACCCCTTTAGTAGATTTTGACAAGTACTGTGCCCCTGCCCCCACCTTCCCTAGTTAGCTGCCTGAACTCTGGGAGTGTTACAAGTCAGAGAATATAAAGGCAGCCCTTCAAGTGTGTCCTTCAGTGAACCACCAGACATGTTGAAATCAACAACCACAATTTTTTTTAGAATAAGGTTTGTTCTCCTTCATTTGTAAGAACCTTTACCAGGATTGTAGACTGTGTCTTCAAGGTCATTGAGCTGTGTATTTGGGAATCAGTAGGTTGTTTGTTTGTTTGTTTGTTTGTTTTTGATTAAGCATTCTCCTGCTTACTATATACTTTTTATTAGTTTCTTTATTTCTGGTAAAGTTGATTCTGACATTATTGCTAGTTTGTCTCTTGAGTAGAAGGATGCACTTTTGGCATTCCTACTCTTCCATTGTTGTCACTTAGGAAGGATTCCTTTTAAGATACGAAAACTGCTAACTATACAAGAAAATATTGATAGATTTAACTAAATTAAAATAAAAAGATTACATTCATAAAAAGACATGATTAAGGAAGAAGACAATCTGCATAGTGGGATTATACACTGAGTAACCAATTATTATGATCTCTGAACACAATATTCTGGTCACTCTATATATTAGAGGCCCAGTGCATGAAATTGTGCATGGGTGGGGTCTGGCCAGCCTGGCCAGGGGGAGGGGACATGGGCAGTTGGCTACTTGCTAGCTGGTCAAACTCCTGGTCAAGAGGACAATTTGCATAATAGCCTTTATTATATAGGCTATACACTGAGTGGCCAAATTATTATGTGTTTACTACTTAGAAGTGCTATATAATTTAAATACATTATCTTATTTAACCCTCATCAGTAATCCAGTGAGGTAGATGTTGTCATTATCTTCATTTTTTAGATAAAAAAATGATTGGAAAAATATATTCTTCTGATATAAATATAACTAATTTTTTCTCAAATTTTTAAAAAGGGAAAAATATAGTCATCAGTATCCCAGCAAAAGTCATAACATAGTTAAATGAAGAAGAGTTTAATAAAGGACTATGGTATTTACAAAGTATTGGGCAGATTTTAGGGGAAGCAACCAGACATCATGCAGTACCTTGGGACTAGTAATAGTGGATAATGGAGCAAAGTGAGGGAGATGCTATTAGAATCCAGAAAAGAACTATAAGCAAGTGTCATCTGACATGGTATGATCCTTAGCCAACCTATAATGACCTGGAAGAGAAGAAGCCAGGGGAATACATACCAGACTTTATTTTCCTCCATTCCTTTAAGTTTCCTGACGGTGCCTCCCATTGGCTGAATCCAACTGGAAACCAGAAAGCCCAGCATATCTTGTTGATTCTATTTATACAGGTCAGCTTAGAGTAGAGAGGGTGAAGAAAGATGGAAAATGAATCTAAAAGGGAAATGGAAAATATCTGGGAAATACATACCTATTAAATTACAAAGTCAGTATATGAATGCCAAACACTTTACTCCTGACCACAATGTAATTGTGGTTAAGACCTCTCATAAATAAGTTTAATAAAATATTATTTGGCCAGGGGAAATACTTAGAATCTGGAGGTTTCTATTCTATGTCAAATTGTGGGGTACTTTTATAACTAACAGTACATGAGAAGAAAAGAATGTCCCTGTCCAAAAACAAGTTAGGTGTGGTTATTGATTTTATATGCTGTTAGTATTTTTAGAATATTAATCCATGCATATTCTCCTTGTTCAGATTCCAGACTCCATAATTTCTCGTGGCGTTCAGGTGCTCCCACGAGACACAGCTTCCCTCAGCACTACTCCTTCAGAATCGCCTCGTGCTCAGGCTACATCTCGCCTTTCTACTGCTTCCTGCCCAACTCCAAAAGTAAGTACAGTCCCTTGGCACTGTGGTCTACGATGTGAATCTGGGAAAACTAACCAATGTTTTCTTCTGCTTGTCAAGGTCGGATTCATGCATGATAAATACAATGAAAAATTAATGGACTATAAGATAGTTACCACCTACTGTTTCACAAATTGTCATACTAGGCCAACAGAAGGACAATAAAAATTTCATGCAAAATGTCTACTTCTACATCACAGCTACAGGTATCACTTTCTGTAGCTCCTATTACTTTGCTGTAGACTTGTTATTTTCTTAGCATACTCATTAGTATAGTTGTGGAGTTACATGTTTATGCAGAAGATCAATGCATTTTTGGCCAAAATAAAATAATGTTACCAAAGGGTATGTGCTTATTTAACCTGTCCAGTTTAAGGTAGCTCCCTGCTCTAGTATCATTCCAAATTTTTTCAAAACATATCCAACTTAGATGTTGCTGCCTAATATTTGGAAAGACATCTAAATTGATTAGAAAGAAAGTTTTAATGCCAACCTTTGGGGGAGGGAAGACGTATCTTAGTATTTATCTTTTATTATAATTGTGTATAGGGGGAAAAGTATTAGAACTTTACTACCTCACATCTTCAATGTATACAATAATAGCAAACTTAATTATGGCTGTGACTACTTACTTCTGGACTGTCCCTTCCCTGGTTAAGTTAATCATTTGTGCTATAAAGTTTTCTATGAAATGGATCCAATATTGGTATCAAAAAGTTAAGAGTAAAATTTCTTCTTACTTAATAGGATATGGTGTTAGATATCAGTCTGTACACTGAATTTATTCTAGGTCTCTGCAGGTAATTTTTAAAATTGTGACTTTTTCCACTATATAAAATTTAAGAACTTATGTAGCTGTCTTTCTCAACTTCTCTGAATTTATCGGTGTTATAATCGATTTAGTGATCAAAAGTGATCTTACGAAGTTCTTGATATATAATGTAGTTGCTTTTACATTCCATGGTGCAACCTTCTCAGCAAAGTCTCTGGAGTGTTAGTGTTGTATATCATTGTTTTTAGACTTGTATCAAAAATAACATATTAATTTTATAGTTTAAAAAAGCTGAGGTCCTAAATCTTCAGTGAAGAAAAACTGTAAGACCATTCTAGACATGAAATGTATGTTAATGCCATTTGGATGACAGTTAACTACATCTTCACTGGATGAAAACATTGAGTTCTATATACTAAAATTGGATAGATACTCTCATTCATGTCTTTTAAATTTTTAAATCAAAATAATTTGTTGTTTGACTGCATTAAATTCTAATTATATAAGCGGTATTCTTTATAAAATCTGGGAAACAATTAAAGCTGAAAGATAAGGTCACTATTAATGTTTAGCCATTCACAAAATATTAAGATCCAAATGTTGGTAATACAGAGCTATCAAAGACAAAGCATTTTTCCCCCTTGACACTATATACTGTGAACATAAATATTTTAAGCATAATTTAACGTATACATACTAGTTCTTAGTCCTTTTAAAACTTTACAAAGTGAATATTAAATCCAATTTTAAAACTTACTTGGTATTTCCCAGTTTACTAAAGTGAAATCCTAAAAATAAAAATGTTGATATTTATTAAGTTAATGTGCTTATTGCAGGTCTTTAGGAGAGCAAGTAGCTTGTCTTAACATTTTTTTCTTAGTTAACACTTATGCTCAAACTGACAGTAAATTCATATAAAGCAGTGTATTTGAATATCTTTTTTCCTAGAAATTTTTTAATACTTTTATCTAGGAATAAGCTTCTCTTTCTTTTAGGTAATTTTTACCAGCATCATAATATATACTTTAAAGATAAAATTATTGCTTTAGTCTAATTCTAAAATTAAATTGTTATGGCTGAATCAGAATACTGATATAATAAAAAACTGGTTTGAATATGGGTTTCTTAAAGGAGTAAGTCAAATTAATCTTTCTATTAAATATTCTAAATTATAAGACTATTTGAATCTAAATTATATGTGTTTTTGTATCAGTGGCAGTTTAGTCAATGGTATATTAAAATATAATAAGTAGAATATAATAGAATTATATTCAGTGTTTATTCTATTATAATTTTACAATAACTTAATAATTATAAATTGAAATTCATGCAAGAAGAAATGAAAAAATTGTAGTGATAGAAAATAATAGGAGAGAAACCATACTTAGAATGATCAGAGAAACCTCCCGAAGGAATAACATTTCACCAAGGACTTGAAGAATACACTTTCTAATCTTATATTCAAACAAAATGCATAATTATTAATTCTCTATAAGTTTCTTTTATCCTTTGAACATAAGAATTTAAATTATTCTGGATAAAGAATAAATATTTTTTAACTCACAGTTTTTATTCATTAGGTCTAGAAGACAATGTGATTTCCTTTACATATAAAAATGGCATTATTGATCCAGTATCGATATAATATTCCCTTTGAGATTTTTTTCTTAGATAAATTAGTTTTATAAACTATTCTTTATTATTACCACTTTTCTTTGTGAACAGCACAGTGATTATTTATGGCTAGTTCATTGGTTGTAAACCTGAGGTTCCCATGTCTCTGGAGAAACTTAGTTGCTAAAATTTTAGCCTAGGTCATGGTACTAGCAGGATTCTGCAAATTATTTTCCACTATTTATAAGAGCATACACAAAATCAATAACACTATACTACTGGTAAACATTAAGTTTCTTTGCTTTTGTCTGAAATTAAATCAGTATTTGTATAGCAACATCTATTCAGATGTAAATTACATTATAAAAATATGGATTCAACCAACGCCAAAAAAGGTTGGAAAACACTGAATTAATGACATCAAAAGTACATTCTCTAAACATAAAAATGTAAGATATTTTCTAAAAAGTTAATTGCCCATCTGATGGATATTGAAGAGTAATATTCTCTAGATTATTTGTCAAATTCAGCAGTTCTCAGACAAAATGACCTCAGAACCCCTTCACACACTTAAAATTTATTAAAAACACCAAATTGTATTTGTTTATGTGGTTATACCTACTAATATCTACCAAGCAAGAAATTAAAGCTGATAAATTTTAAGTGTTTATTTATTTGCTTCAAAATAAAAATAATAGGTATTTATATGTCAACATAAATAACATTTTTATGAAAAAAAATAATATTTTCCAAAACAAAAAATATCTACTGAAAAGGATGGCATTGCTTTACATTTTTTCAAATATATTTCAATATTTGGTTTCATAGAAGACAGCCAAATTATCACATCTGCTGTACTCAATCTGTTGTGATATGTTGTTTTGTTTGAAGAATATAAAGAAACAAATCAGCCTCACATAGTCACATAGTTAGAAAAGGAAGGATGATTTTAATAATATTTTCAGATAATTGTGGGTATTCTTTGAAATTACACCAAAAATTTACAATTGTCTATTAAAAGTTAGCTGAAGGATGGAATCAAAAATCTTGTCAGGACTATTCAATACTTTGATATATTAAAATCCATTGCCCTGGCTTGAACTTTGAGTGGACCTAGGTATGATTTTATAATGCATTTCTTGGTAACTTGAAAAATATATGTTCTAAGTGTTGATATATTTCATTATTTTTATTAAAAAATCATTTTCATTAATATGACCACCTACCTCATAAAAAATGACTTTGAAGTATTAGAAACTCTCAAAAATAGTATTATATGTTTTCCACAGTTCTGATTTGTGTTTAAAAGTTATCTTTAAACAAAACAACAATTCCTGTCTATTTTCCAGGAATTGACAGGCTCATTTCATTCATTTCAAGAAAATATCTATTGAATATCTAAGTCTGAATAATTACAGTTTGTCAGTATTCTTTCATTCCTTCAAGTAAAAATGGTATTCTGTTCAAAACTGGCTAGTTCAAAGTGCAACTCAAACAACTGCATAAGTGCTTTTGCTTGAAACAATCATCATCCTTTGGTATGGAATAGCAATATTCTATTCATACTAGTCATTTTGCCATACTCAAGGGACTAGTTTAAATTAAGTTAAATTAGTATTTACTGTTTCATTGAGGACAATGTTAAATGAAACTAGCTTTTCTTTTTTGAAACTTATTAATTTTTTTAACTCAGTATATGATAGGTGAATAATACAAGAACTATTCATACTATTGGATCCACCACCTCAATCTGCACTAAGGTGCCAACCCACCATTGCTTTTGTATCATTATTGAAAATGTCAACATAGTGAAAGAAGCCAATGTCATAGTACTTTATTGAAATAATTCGGCTTTCAGATTCCTGAAAGGGCTTCAGGGACCCTCATGGGTCTATGGACTTAAAGAGCCACCAGTATAATCAAATGGGCAAACTGGATTGTTTCTTGAAAATAGCATGGGTCAAACTATGTCTTTTGAATCTTATTTTTTCACTGAGACAATATTACAATGCTGTTCTCATAATAGAGATCTTATTCAAGGATGGGGAACCATTTTTTTTTTTTTTTTTTTTTTTTTTTTTGCCAAGGGCCATTTGGGTATATGTAACATCATTCACAGGCCCTACAAAATTATCAATTTAAAAATTAACCTGCTATATTTTGTCAAACACTGAATTAACTCACCCCTAAAGCCTTGGCAGGGCCAGACCAAATGATTTCACAGGCCATAAACAAACCACAAGGCCAGACATTCCCCACCCCTGGTATATAAGTGACTACCAGTATAGTACCTGGCTTAAGCATTATAAATGGTTCACCCTCACTTGTGATCCCAATTAATTCCAGAGCAAGGAATAGAATTTCTCCTCCCTAAGTCAAAATGAGAAAAGACTTCACAAAGTCTTTTGCAGATACAAAACCAGAAATTGTAATTCTTGGCAACTCAACTTATTTCCAAAGAAGATACTATTTCTGCACTTGGATAGCATCTAATATTTCCCCAGGATATCTTATCTACTAATAGATACAAAGAGGACTCTTTTAAGTATAGACTAGTTTTTATAAGATAATCTTATTAGAGATATAATTGAGCCTG